CCCTCCCCAAATACATGAACAATGGCTACTATTATCTGTGGATTGAAGTTCACAGACTTACTTCCATGCCCCAAAGTAGAACAGTCTAAGATATTTTTGAATGAGCACAGATCATATGTATGAATTTATTTTTTAAAAAAAAACTGTGTGTGTGTGTGTGTGTAACTTTTCCTGATTTTGTTCCTATTTGAAAGGCTTTTAAAAATTTCGTTTTTAATGGATGACTTCTTGAATTCTCTTATCTATTTTGGGCCTGCTTCATGTTTTCCCCTTCTAATTCAAAGTTTATCTATTAGTGTTTACTGACCCTTGTCCCATGCTAAAATCAAGGCAGAAATCATGTGTGTTTGTTTTAGTAGTCTCTAGCACACAGGAAAAAAGCCTTAGAAGTGGTAGAAAGGCAATAACTTTACTTGTTGAATAAGTGAGTAGTAAGGCAAAACTTTAAAACAGTATTTAAGTTCTCTATCAGTGGAATGTATAAAACCTCTTTGATTTCTTTAGTCTCTGCTAAATGTTCACTGCTGCTGGACATTGGCACGTTCTGCAGTAGTTTACCAGTTGGGAAAAGCTGTTTAGATTCTAATCTTGTGCATCCATGTGTATTTAAATGTATATACATATGGTACATACTTACAGCACTTACTCCAGATTGATGAGAGTCTTTCTTTCCTCTTTCCACAGATCTTAAATCTCACTCAGGCACTGAGAGATGGGAAGAGTCCTGTACAGCTGGTGCAGATGCCATGCGTGATTGTGGAATGCAGTAAAAGCGGCGGCCAGGGGCGGGTTGTACACCTAGGCAGCTCCTTCACCCAGACGGTCCACTGCAGGAAGCCATTCTTTTCCTCCTGGTAGCAGATGTAAGGGGAACAGCTGTGTGGTGTTACTGTGATGATAAAATATTACCCTGATGTAAATCTGCTGCTGAGAGCACCAGTTGCCAAAACCTCAAATAATTCAAGTCTTTAAATAGATACAAAATAATATTATATTTTGAATGTAATCAAAAGTTTACAATTTTTTGTCCAAATATTATAAATTTCTATTTCAGGGAAGAAGTGATATATTGCCTATATTGTATTTTTATAGAAAAATTGTATTTTATGTTGTTATTACTTTAAAAATAATTTCATGGTTTACACATGCTAGCATGACTATAATTGTTTTATAGAATTCCAACTAGAGGATAAAAGTTGACTTTGAATACTGTAACATTTTATATACTTTTTAAATATGAGAAGAACCTTCTTGCATTCATTCCAAAAGACCTTTGAGGGTGGCCAAGCCAGAAACTACTCATATAGACTCTTAATAAGAGTAGCCAGTAAGAATAAAGCTTCATTTTAAAAGCTGCTACTTTAAAACTGAAATAAGTGCTCAAAGGGGACCTGAAAGTTAAATTTTGCTTAAGTGACAGTTACATGACCATATTACTTTTGTACTTTGGTGTATTTGTTGGTGAAATGTTCTGTTTTAGTGAGGGAGAAAAATCTAAAGACATCTCCCCTCCTTTTTATAAAAAGGAAATAACTGAGAGTTAAATGGAATAATGTGAAATTAAGATAATCTCCAGTATCTTAAAATTACAACATTGCCTTAAAAATCCCCTTTTGTTTCTCAGATGGGATCAAATAATTGAAAATTACTATTTTCAAAATACTAATCGTAACCAGTTTAGTACTCAGTTAGTACTGAACATCACTGCAAAGTAAACCATACCCCAAGTGTATATTGAATCTCAGATGGGTCCCAGGGTCAGAAAGCCTTGGAACCAGTAGGCCCACTCTGAGTGGGAAGGGAGCATAACTCAGACGGTCCACACTGGTTTTAAACTTGTCTTTGTTGCATCTTGAGCATCTGTGTACTCTTTGGAATCTATAGCCCTGTTTAGTCACCAAGGCATGGAAATGGAAATGAGCCCACAAGGAAAATGTGACTGTAGAGAAAAGCATTAGTGTCTTGCTACCGGTTCAAAACCTTTCCTTTGTAAGTCTGTCATCTTAGGATTTTTTAATGAGCTATTCTTGTATGAAAAGTGTATCCAGGTGGTTAAATTAGGGTGGGCCAGACTGGAAGTCTCCTGGTCACATCTTGGTGACATAGTAGTGAGCACACCACCACCCAAGTGGTCAGTTGGAAACCTGTGTCCTTCTACCTCTGCTGACCTTCCATTAACTCAAGTTTGAGATAATGGAAACTTGACTGGAATATCAAATTATACCCCCACCTGTTGGTAAATGCTAGTCATTAAAATGTGCCTTTCTAAGATGGCTTCTGAAAGAGAGGACATAGTTGCCTTTGCTGTGGTATGGCTTTCACAAAATGATTTTTTCCAGTATTTTGAGAATTGCTATATTAATTTTTATAACAAAGAACTTAGTAAATTGATACTGTTCTATAGTCTAAAATTAAAATAGTTCAAGAATATTTTTAAATGTCAGACCATGTTAGAAATGTTGAGATATTTAAAGATTACAAGTAAAAGAACTTAGGCTGTGTTTTGTAAACATTCATGAACTTAATTCTTATTTAAATATTGTGGGATTTTTTAATGACTATATTTATATTGTCAAATATAAGCAAGAGGAATAAAAATCATTGTCTTGAGGCTGTTGCTCCTGTATATTAAATTTCTAGAATGCTTATGTTTATAAACTGTGACATATATATCAGTTACCTTTGTGTTGCTCTGGTCAAACTCCTGACAGGAAGTAGTTAAGAGTGAAAGGCTTGTTTTGATTTGCCATTCCAGGGTACTCGGTTCATCATTGTAGGGAAGGCATGGAAGCAAGACAGTGAGGTACTTGGTCACACTGTGCCCGTAGTAAGGAGGTAGAGACTTGACAGGAAGGGGGCTGTCCACGTGACCATCCTCAAGGCCCCGCTCCCCCTGTTAGGGATAAAGCATTGAAACACATTGAGCCTGTGGGGGGAGCACTGTCATTAAAGCACAACAGCACATTTTTTCTTATTATTACTTTGGATCTTGTGGTGCTGAAGGTGGAACCCAGGGCCTTGCATGTGCTCGACTGGACCCCTGAATACATCCTGGAATCATTACTTTTCATATTAGTTATAGGTTTTAACCCCTTATTTTGTCAAAAGGTAGAGGTAGGTGTGTGTGTGTGTAACTGGAAGTTTTAAATTTGAAACATGTTAATGAAAATTATATTATTGATATTCTTTTTAAGTTAGAGTACTGTGTTAGTAAATAAAACTTTACTGACAAAGTGTGCTTTGATGAGATTACATCTTCAGAATCCATACCAACATGTAATGTAATACAAAAATTAAAAGACCCAGAGACTGATACTGGGGTTCCAACTTCAAGGTGAAGATCAGAAAAGCAAAACAGCCAGCCACTAGCTTTTTTATTTTACCTCAGACTGAAAGGCAATCCTGACTCTACGAAACCTCAAACTGCTGCCTCTCTTCACTGTGGCTGTAGAATCCTGAGACTTCAGTGTCTTCCTATCCTCAATGTGGCTGATACTGACTACTGAAGAATTTATCCTATCTTTTATACCCCTTTAGTGCTGGGATTAAAGGCATGTTGTGGTCCTGTTGTGCCAGGTTTGACGAATCCCAGAGGCTAACCCGGGGAGTCGACACTCTGATGCAAAAGCAAAAGGTTCCATTTATTGTTCAGCTGGCCAGCTGGATCTCTTTCCTTGGTGGAGGAAATGAGATGCCCACCAGCCAAAAAGGGAAGTTTTTAAAAGGGCAGAGCATAAGGCTGAAGACCACAAATTTCAGTTTCCATGGTTACTTAAGGTCATACAAAGTTCAGAATAGAGCAGTAACTATATATTTTAAGCAAGATACATTTGAGTGAGATAAGACAGAACATGGGCTTGCAGGGTTACAGGGTCACAGGGTCTGTCAGCTGTTCCCTGGGCTGGGGGGTCTTTACAACTGACAGGGGATCTTTATGACCAGCAATTAGCAAAGGAATGTTAACAGGAAAGTGGTGGACAGTTACCTCTCCTTCTCTGAGAGCAAGGGGCTCAGGCACCAGTCATGGCACTCCTGATTTAAGGAGTTAAATTTTCCCTTTCTCTGTATAGATTTAGGGCCCAAGTTTTTTAACTTTTATTAATTTTAATTTTTGGTCCCTCAGTCCCAGGTGCTGAGATCGTCTTTGTGTGAGCCGTGTCTCTTTAGAACTGGACCAGTCTTGTGTAGATCTGGGTGGCCTTGGACTCACAGAGATCCATCTACCTCTCAGTCCTGAGTCCTAGGATTAAAGGTGTGTATCACCACCTCCTAGCTTCTGGCTATGGGATTAAAGGTGTGCATCACCACCGCCTGATCACTATAGCTTGTGGCTGACTTTGCTTTCTGAATCCTCAGGCAAGCTTTAATAAACCATAAAAAATATATCACCACAATGTGACAGACAAGCAACTTGAAGGTTTTATATAGCCAGCTGCCTTCTCTAGGTTGCTTGGGCAGCTGTCCAGATGCGGGCAGAGATTCTTAGTACTATTCTACATTTACATCCTCTTCTGTGTGTGGGACATGTGATTCAGTTCTGTGAGATATAGAGCAATACGTAATGAAAAACCTCGGCATCAAAGCGCCGGGCACTGAACCGAACCCTCTGCCCAAGAACCGGGGCCAGACCACTGGCTGCAAATGCAAGAGGTGATTTATTGAGTACACAGGCGCCTGCGGATGCTACTGCAACTCGGGTGCAGAGCATACCGGGCTTGTAGGGAGTACACTATTTATGGAGTTTTAATGATTACATAAGTATCAGCATAGCAACAGATATTTCATTGGCTACTGAAGCATGGGCTGAGATCATCTGGGGGGGCAGGGGTAGTTGCCAAGGACTAGGTTTCCTACATGAATGACCCCGGCATGCTTCAACAATTAGTATCCGGGTCCTATGATTGCTACAGTGATCAGACACAATTGGGGGCCAGGGTAGTTGCCAAGGACTAGGTTTTCTAGTATTGTCATATGAAAGTTCCCAGCACGCTTCAGCAATTATTATCCGGGTCCCATGACTGCTATAGTGATCACAGACATCCTGTTTTGAGGGTGAAACACCTGGTCTGGGTTTCTTTCATTAGGCAACGGCCTGGCCTTGCTTTTCTTTTCCTAGGGGGTCCTATGTAGGGGTCTTTCAGTAAATTCCATAGCCAGCAATGAAGTGCCATGGTTGAGCACAGTTTTGTCTTCGTTTGGTTGTAAACAGGAACTTTGCTGAATGGAAGCAGCCTGGGCACAGGCATTTGGGCTGGAGGAAGGCCATCCAGAAAGTTGATTGATGGTATTAGACTGTCACAGGAGTAAACAGGAAAGACTGGTCACTGAAATTTCAATTTTAATCATTACTGTAACATAGTCTTATCCTGAGTGTTACAAATCTAAAAAGAAAATAATCCATCACTTTAAAGTTTAGAAAATGCTCAGATGCAGGATGGAAGCAGCAGCAGGTGCCTTTTTCATCTCCTAAATCATCATGTAGCAACCAGACAAGCAAAGCAAGAAAGTATCTCCAAAACCTGTGATAGATTATTCCTGAATCCTAGCGTTGGAGTCGTTTCTGTTAAGTCTATTAGCAAAATCATGTGCAAACAGCTGTGGTTGCGCATCAGCAAGAAGGTAACAAAGAGCCTCTGATGGTGGCATTGGCCTCTGACGGGGAGGCTCAGTAGCTAGTCAGTCAGGAAAGGCTGGCCTTGCCTTCAGTCTTGGCAGTGAGCAGAGGGATCTGCATGACTGAGAGGGATTGCACTGAACAGAGCCATCTCAGCAAGTAAGGCCTGGCAGGTAAAGAAAAGAGTCTGGTGCTGATGAGGGAGGTTGCCAAATGAGCCTGAATTCACGGTGACAAAGGAAGCACTGTGGTGGGGAGAAGAGAGGAAGCCTGGGGAAGAAAAAAGTGGGAAAATTAACCTCAGTTAAACATAACTACAACTTCCAGCATACTCTGAAAACAAAACAAAACAAACAAACAAAGGACCCCACAAGGTAACAGGCTTACAACAAACCCACAGACTATGAGAATATCACAGAAACTGGCCAGTGAAGCAGAGCAAACAGTAATCTTTTTTTTAGGAGTGTTTTACCATGCTGCCCAGGTTGGTCTCAATCTTGTACACTTGGCGATCTGGTCCGTTGCCCCAATAGCTGGGTCCATAGGTATCCATGCCGGCACGCCTAGTTCAGACATTTAAAAACATGCTGAAGGGGTTTTAAGAAGCAAAGACAGAACAACGTCACATTAAAATCAGACCTAAAGGAAGTAGGTAAGCCACAGAGGCAAGCTCTCAGTACATGAGAGCTGAGAGAGCTCAAGATAAAATACTAGAGATAAAAACATGTTGCAGAAATAAAGTAGAACACAGAGAGACAACACAAGAGACCAGAGCAAAAACCTCACAGTGAAGTGTTGAAATATCTAGATTATTAGCTGTATATCTCCAGCTTGCAGGTCTTGGTAGGTTTCATTGAAATAAGCAGCATCCCCACATGTCCTTTTGTGGAGACTCAGAGAACCCATTTCCTTTCCTTTAGGCCACTCAGTCCTTAGCTGTGGTCTGCCACTGTCCTTTACTGTTGTTGTGGTATTTGGACTTGAACCCAGGGCAAGTTCTTTTCCATGAGCTAGTCTACAGCTCCCATTTTATTTTATTTTGGTTTTGGTTTTTCTTTTTTTTTTTTTTTTTTTTTTTTTTGGTTTTTTTTTTTTTGGTTTTACGAGACAGGGTTTCTCTGTATTGTTTTGGATGCTGTCCTGGAACTCACTCTGTAGACCAGGCTGGCCTCGAACTCACAGAGATCCGCCTGCCTCTGCCTCCCGAGTGCTGGGATTAAAGGCGTGCGCCACCAACGCCCGGCTTGGTTTTGGTTTTTCAAGACAGGGTTTCTCTGCATAACAGCCCTGGCTGGCCAGGAACTCGAGCTGTAGTCCTCGAATTCACAGGGATCCATCTGCATCTGCTCCATGAGTGCTGGGATTAAAGGTGTGGCCACCATGCCTTGCTGTTATTTGATTGGCAGGCTCTCACTACAGAGCTCACGTTATCTTAGCCCAGTAAGGCCTTAAATTTATTATCCTTTTTGTTTCAGTCTCTGAATAGCAGGAAGTACAAGAATGTGGCCCTAAAGCCAGCACAGTTCACTTGCAAAACCCCATGACTGCATAGTGCCCACCGAGATAGTGTCCTCTGTGTGTGCAGGGATGTGTACACATGTATGTGTGTACATGTATGCATGTGGAGGCCAGAGGTTGGCGTCACATGTCCTCCTCAGCTGTGCCCCACCATCTTTTTTGAGACAGAACCTCTCACTGGAACTGGTGCTTTGCAATTGAACAAAACTAGTTGGCCAGCTGGCACCAAGGTGTTCTCCTCTCTGTGCCTTTGTGTATTAGGGTTTTAAGCATGTGCCACCATGCCCAGCTCTTCACATGCCGGCACTTTACCTGCTGAGCTACTGCCTCACCAACACCACCCCTGGTAGTGCTTGGGATTGGCCGAACCCAGCTCCTAATATTTGCTGATGTACTCTATTACTGAATACACCCTTAGTCCCTTTCCTATTTAAACTTTTATCTTTTATGTTTATGTGTATGTATGTGTGCTGTGTGTGTGTGTGTGTCCCACTTGTATGCAAGATCCTCTGGAACACGATATTTGATCCCTTGGAAATGGAGTTAGGGGAGTTGTGAGACTACCATATGAGTATAGTACTGGCTATCAAACCCAGGTCCTCCGGAAGAGCAGTGCTCTTAACCACTGCTGAGCCCCTCCTAATTTTAAATGTGTTATTGTACAACCCCATTTCATCTGTAACTGCAATCCCCAGACAGGGACAGCTTTGGGGGCCACTATTCTCTCTTTATACTTTTCTTATAGGGTCATTAATGAGGGAGGCATGCCTGCTCTCAGTGTTTTTCTGTGTTCTGGAGATCTTGAGCCACAGAGAAGGACATCAGGTACCAAGGAAAAGGTGTAAAGATCAGAGAAGAAACAATGATTTGAAGATGACTTAATTATGTAGAAAAATTCAAGAATCTATATAGATAAATATTAGGATTAAAATGAGTTTTTATTAAGTAAATTTAAAAGATTAATTAGAAAAACAAAAATGCACTGGGTGGCGGTGGTGCACGCCTTTAATCTCAGTGATCGGGAGACAGAGGCAAGCTGATCTCTGAGTTTGAGGCTAGCCAGGTCTACAGAACGAGTTCCAGAACAGCCAGTGCTACCAAACTGTTAAACTGCCTGGAAAAACAAAACAAGAAAAAGAAATCAAACAACACTATCTGTTAATAGCATCAAAACACATTTGATTTTAGGGATAAATTGAACTGAAGATACACTGCATTGCAACACCAGGCTATGAAAGAGTGCCTAAAATACGGGTTTGGGGATTGATTATAGCTCAGTGCTAAAGCTTTGCCTTACATGATCAAGGCTCTGGATTAAATTCCTCGTATTAGTCAAAATAAGATATTCTCACATGAACAGAGGGCTTATACTTAAAAATGTTCTCAAATTTATCGATTGAACACAATATACTGAGAAATTTTGGTTAACATTGCAAAGGTAGTTCTGAAGTGCATATGAAAATGTTTTGGGGGCTGGAGACATGGCTCAGCGGTTAAGAGCACTGGCAGCTCTTCCAGAGGTCCTGAGTTCAATTCTCGGCAACCACATGGTGGCTCACAACCACCTTGAATGAGATCTGGTGTGCTCTGCTGGCATGCAGGCAGAAGGCTGTATACACAATAAATAAATAAAATAAAATAAAAAAAAGAAAATGTTTTAGACAAAATAACCAGAAAAGAATGGTTGGAGGTAGTATTTTACTGGGTCTCAAAACTTTGAAAGCTCCAGGCAGTGTTGGCAAACACCTTTAATTCCTTAATCCTGGCACTTAGGAGGCAGAGGCAGGCAGATCTCTGTGAGTTTGAAAAAAGCCTGGTCTGCAGAGTTAGTTCTAGGACAGCCATGTCTCAAAGAAGCCCTGTCTCCAAAAAAAAAAAAAAAAAAAAAAAAAAAAACAGGTCAGTATTCTCAGCAGAGAATTCAGAAGGAAACCCTAGCCATGTGGTAAACTGATTTTTAACAAGGATACCAAGGCAATTCAGAGGGAATGAGCCTTTTCAACAAAGGATACAGTAGTAATCAGATAGACAGGCACAAGCATCAACACCCATGTGCCCTTTGCACAGAGGGACATTCCTGTAATCCCAGTTTTGCAAGCCAAAGGCAGGGGAAGTTGAAAGTGACTAGCCTGGGCTGGGCTTTGTACTAGGACTGCCTCATCACCAATAAAAGAACTGAAAGCTCTGGAAGCAAATGGGGATCTTGTTGACCATCTTAATTAGGTGATAAAACACCATGACCAAACACAGCTTAGGGAGAAAAGGTCTTATTTCGTCTTACATATCCACATCACTGAAGGAAGTCGGGGCAGGAATGCCTCTTTGCCTGAGGTTTTGGTTGTTGCATAAGAGGTATATGTGTACAAGTAGATCCCTTGGAGTACGTCGATTTCTTGGAGTACGCTGACAAAATATAAAGCTATTGTAAACTTGTTCTCTTACCCAACAATGGAGAGTTAACCTGGGATTTTGAAGAAATGGCCCCTGTGCTCACTGGGAAGAGATGATCAGAAGTGACTCATTCAGGAGAGATGTGACATTTCAAAAGACATTGGTTCAGATTCCTCATGCCTGGGTCTGGTCTGTGAGAAAACTAGTCTGGCTACGGCTCCCTGGAGTCCTCTTGCTGGTCTTTAGGAGCTGGACATCGAGAACACATTTCAGTAAGTAGCAGCTAATTCCTGTAAAGGAAGAGATACTTTGTTTTCCTTCTTACCCGAAGACTTCAGACACTTCAGAACTGGCAGCCTCCTCTGCCTCAGGGGTGAGAGAGTTATGTAAACATCCAGGGAACAAGGCCTAGGAAACTGGTCTAACCAGATGTGGGTGCCTGATGCCACTGTGGTGAATAACCCTGCCTTTCCTCTTAGTGTGGTTTAGGGGACATTCTGTAGTACTTGGAAAAGGAGAAGTGCTTTGAAACCACGTGCTGTTTCAGGTCGGAGTGGCAACTGCCTGCCTAGCTTGATAACTAAACAATTTAGCATCAGGCTGCCCTTGCTCTCCGCTCCATCCGACGAGATGGGAGTGCATACTGCCCCAGATCACTTAAAATGCCATTATCTTCCTGGGACAGTTTCTGCTTTGCTTGTCTGCACAGCAGGTGTGATGACCCCGATGTCAAATCTCAAAAGCCTACAGTGCAGGCTGAGTGTCAGCTTTGGTACAGGAATTTGGTGTAAGCCCTGGAGGATTTCCAAAGAGAAGGCCTCTGACTGAGCAATGAAGTTAAAGAGACTACAGAGACTACAATGCACAGGGTGGCTAGGGAGTTTGGGTTTGCAATACATGTGTGGGTATGTGGACTGTGACCATACATGAATGTGGAAAACCTCACTTTTACTATTTATTACTATTTACTGTCTATTCTGAGTGCTACCTGGTGTAGATCTTTTATTTTCCCAGGTGCTGTGCTCAAGTTTTCCAGATCGCACTGGGCACTGTCCATTCTCCTGTAGATCCTTTCTTCCGGGATTTGTGCCTGGTTGGCTGAACATTATGGCAGTGTTGAAAGCCTTGATACCCCTCAGTGTCCATTGCTTTCTGCCAGTAGCAGACACAGCAGAAGAAAAATGTGAGGGCCAAAGCGGAGGGGGGGGGGGTGGGTGGGAATCTCCAGCCTCCAACCTCAGTTGAACACTTTGGAGAGCGTGCATATTTTAGCAGTACTAATTTGTGTGCCTGTGTGTCCCCATTATATATTCTTTTATACCCCAAACTTTTGCCCTGGTGGCTTGTCGTGATTTCCTGAGCCCCATGGAAGACCTTATACCGTGTAGGACTACCCTTGCCATAAATTCTTTTCTTCTGTTTTGTTATGGAGTACCCACCAGAGAAAACCACTCAGACACGGACCTGGAATTACACTCAGGTATCTGGGACCTAAGTGTAGCACTGAGCGTTTAGATAAGGGGCTTTTAAAGGCAGAACTCCTTTTATCTCAAGTAGCAGTTGCAGAGGGGGGGATTTACACAAGTAGGCAGTTTAAAAGAAGCTAAGATAAAGTTAGCTGGGGCATCTTGACTTCCAGTTCCTAGAATGCAGTTGGATAATTTTCCAAGGGGTTTTCCATTAAGGAAGCCAAATTCTAGTCAAACTTGAAATGATCTCAGCAAGAATACGAGATGGAGGAATGTCTGCACTGTCTTATCCTGCTACAGTTTACAGAAACTGTTGTCTCCCCTTGGCTCTGTGTAATGGCTAACTTGTGTTTTAAGTTTAATTTAGTCTGCTTAAGATATCTATAAAAGAAAAATGCCTCTAACTTGAAAGCCCCACTTGCCCAAGGACAGATAACTTACTGGACTGCTGAGGGTTGTTCGTATAAGATAACAAACTCAGTGTTTTCACTTCTGTAAACAAGCATGCAACCAGGATGTGTGTGTGATCACACATAGGCAGGAGGTACATAGGAAATAAGTAAGGATGTATGCTTGTCCCTGGTTGGATGAAGGTGCAAACGACAGACTTGTGGGTTTGTTTTTATTTTTTTCTTTGCTTTTTGGGCTTTTTTGTTTTTTGTTTTGTTTTTGTTTTCTGGACAGGGTTTTTCTCTGTAGCCCTGGCTGTCCTGGTCCTCGCTCTGTAGACCAGGCTGGCCGAAAACTCAGAGATCCACCTGCCTCTGCCTTCTGAGTGGTGGGAATAAGGGTGTGCACCACTGTCACTTGACTCAGATTTTGTTTTTATGAAGCCCTGACTGATGTCATTTGGCATAATACTCTGGGATTCCTGAGTATGGACCTGGCCAATATCCATGATCCTGGCTCATCCTGAATAAAGCTTTGGTTCAAAAATTGTGGTAGTGGTCTTATTCTCACCCAGTGGAATTAACATTTGTAGAATAGAAAGGAAATGGTACTCACTGTTGGCAGCCCAAGGTCAGTCAGGCTTCTTGGTGGTTTAGCTTAACTTTACCCACAATTTAGAAAGCAATCACTCTGTGAAACCTCCCTCAGTACCCCACTTAAGTGTGTCTTCTGATTCTCACTAGGATCCTGCATGGCACACACACACGATGTTATTTGATTCTTTCTTTTCTCAGAAGAGCTATGTGTTATTATCTCACACACACCCAGAAAAACTCAGAACAGTTAGAATACTTGCCTGAAGTTTATCTAACAAGATATAGAATGAGGTCCTTCTGTCTTAGCCCCACCATTTCTCTTGCCTGAATTACGTTGGGTGGGTTTGAGGTTCCTAGCCCTGTGGGTACATCTTCATAAAACAATGCTTTGCAAACCTCCTCGACTCCTTTGAAATGAAATCCATAGTTACTGTGGAACAGTGAATTTGAAACAACACATTTCTCCTTTCTTTTCTCCTCCTTTTAAACAGGTTCTTATGTGGCCTTGGTTGGCTTTGAATTCAATGTGTAGCAGAGGATGGCCTTGAATTCTTGATTCTTCTACCTCCTCCTCCCAAATGCTGGAGTGTAAAGAGAAGCTTTTTCCTTGTGAGGAGCCTTCCCGCCAGCCTGGTTCTAGCGCCGCATCAGTCCCAAATGAACACACAGGAGGCTGTATTAATTATGAAGCTGTTGGCCTTGTTTGTTTCTTACTGGCTAGCTCTGACTTAAGTAATTACCCCATAATTGTTAATCTAAGTATGTCTCTTACTGGAGAATAGTTCCGGGCTTCCTACCCCATGGTGGTTACATCTCGAACTCTCCTGTGTTTCTCCTTCCCAGAGTTCTCCTGGACTCCTAGTACCACCTATCTAGATTCCTATTGGCCAGCAGTGCTTTATTGACAAAGGACTTACCCAACACTGGAGTTATATAAGCTTGTGCTGCCATGCCTAGTTTTTGTTTTGTTTTGTTTTTTGCAGGGGGCGGTTGGGGTGTGTGAACCTAGCATTTAGTGCATGCTGGGTAAGCATTCTACCAGCTGAGCTGCCCCCTCAGCCTCTAATCACCTAATTTCAAATAAAATTCATAATGGAAAGACAGATACTGCTAATATAAGCCCAAGATTCTGTCATTGTCGTCCTCATTCTTAGGGAGTCTGAGCTCAGACACTTTTTGAAGTGCTGAGTTTAGTTAGTTTCTGCTAATATCAGCCATGTATTCCTTTAAAGACCATCTGGGCTGGGAAGGGTTAGCTCAGAACAAACATAGCATTTACTGTATGCATGTTATGTGATAAATAGCATACTTCACTGGTTTTGTTTTACAATACGGAGTACAAATGTGTCTCTCTAATCTACAATAGGAAAGTATCCTTATCTGTCTCTACTGTCCCCTATCAGTTCCCTGACTCAAAACAGAGGACTTGAAGCTCAGACTCTGTCTCTACATGGCCTTGATCTCCATAATCTCCATGTTGCCCTCCAATGTCCTCTTCTAGGTGTGCTGTCTTGGGTGTTTTTTTTTATTGCCACAGCACAGCATGATGACCAAGACAACTTAGACAAGAAAGCATTTAGTTTGGTGCTCACACTTCCCAAGGGTAGTAGAGTCCATGACCACCATGGCAGGAAGGTATGGCAAACGGGTGTGGTGACAGAGCTGTAGTGTAGAGCTTACATCTGATTCACAAGCACAGACACACACCGGGAATGGTGTGGGCTTTCCTTCCCTTTGTTTCATTTTTTGAGAGAGGGTTTTTCTACCTGGAACTCACCATGAGGACCAAACCGGTGCTGTCTGTCTGCCCCTGCCTCCTGAGTGCTAGGATTAAAGGTGTGTCCCACTATGCCTAGCTTTGGAATGGGATTTTTTTTTTTTTTGGTTTTTACGAGACAGGGTTTCTCTGTATTGTTTTGGAGGCTGTAGGTCTAGCCTGGCCTCGAACTCACAGAGATCCGCCTGCCTCTGCCTCCCGAGTGCTGGGATTAAAGGTGTGTGCCACCACCGCCCAGCTGGAATGGGATTTTCAAACCACAAAGCCTACCTCACTTACACATCTCTAAGGCCACACCTAATCCTTCCTGAAGAGTTCTACCAGCTATGGTGGCTCATGCCTGTAATCCCAGTGCTTTAGAGAAGATGAACATAAGTTTGAGGCCACGCTGCTTGCCCTAGTGCATTCCAGGTCAGCTGGTGATACACAGTGAGACCTTGTCTCTAAAAACAAAAAACAACAAAAAAGCTCAGTGACAACAGCTCACAAGAGGGTGGCAGTTCCAGGCTGTGTCTCTTCAGTGTTGTCACTGTTTTCAAAGGTCTCAGAAGTCTCCCATAGTCCCTTTGAATCCCATACCTTCCCAGCCAAGTTTCCATGGTTGGGGCTCTTCAGGGTTGGGGAGAGAAAGCAGAGAGAAGACATCTAGGGGGCTTCCTCACCAGCTCAGCAGGGCATCAGTGTTCAGATCTGAGACTGGGGTAGTAGAGCAAAGACTGCTGAGGAGACCGTGTTCTATCTACCAAGAATCGAGAAGTCTTGGGGGAGGCTAACAGGCAGAGCTACCTGTAGCAGAGAACACAGCCAAGGTTTGGGTCTTGACTGGAAAAGGGTGCCACAGTAGTGCCTACACACTTCCACCAGGATGACTGCAGTGTCGTCATGGCTGGTTTTGAGTGACAGGAACAACCCCCCCTGTTTGCTTTTTCAAGACAGGTTTTCTCTGTGTAGCTTTGTAGACCAGGCTGACCTTGAACTCACAGAGATCAGCCTGAGTGCTGGGATTAAAGGCGTGTGCCACTATCGCCCGGCTGAGGACCCACCTTCTTTAACAGGCTTTAGGAGACTACCAGAAGACAGAGACAATGGGAAGACATCCTCTACAACATGATCTGGCTTCATTCACAGTCTCTGAACTGGAGTTCTCTAATTTTTTCCCCTCTATTACTACTGCCTGTAATTTCAGTTCCAGGGCATCTGACACCCCCACACAGATAAAACACAATAATATTAAAATTATTTAAGAACTGTACATTGTTATTTTCACAGAAAATTGCACTGGCAAATGGGGACATTCTTTTACTGATGTACAAATACCAGTGAGAATCCAGTAATCGAGTACAACAGTGATGTTATGTGAGCTGCAGGCATGGTGATGCATGCTGGGAATCCAGTATTTGGGAGGTGGAAGCAGAAAATCAGTTCAAGGTCATATTCTGCTACTCAGGAGTTGGAGGCTAGCCTGAGCTACATGAGACCCTGACACAAAACAAAACAAGAGTCTAGAGGGTACTATGGCTTTGTAAAACCCAGCAAAGCTGCTGAGCTGCGAGCTAGTTAAGCTATTGTCTATTAATTGAATCAAATTTTTGTTCTAAAGATTCATCTTGAGGGGTAATGGCGTATGCCTTTAATCCCAGCACTCCGGAGGCAGAGGCAGGTGGATCTTTGTGAGTTCGAGGCCAGCCTGGTCTACAGAGCGAATCCAGGACAGCGGTGGCTGTGACACAGAGAAACACTGACTTGAAAAACCAAAACCAGCCGGGCGGTGGTGGCGCACACCTTTAATCCCAGCACTCGGGAGGCTGAGGCAGGCGGATCCCTGTGAGTTCGAGGCTGGGCTGGACCGACAGCCTCCAAAACAATACAGAGAAACCCTGTCTCATAAAACTAAAAAAAAAAAAACAAAACCAAAAAACAAAACAAACAAAAAAAAACCCATCTCTTCTCCTGGTTATATAGGTTAGCTCTTTGTACAGGTCTATCAGCATTACCCCCTTCCTCCCCCCAGACTCTCGGGTTCTGGGACTGACTTGGCTTGGCTCCTCCAGGACACGCGGGGCGCTGTGGCTCGCTGGCGCCGCGGCGGCGCTCTTTCTCTGCCTCCTCGGTTGGGACTGAGACTTTCGGGACAGCGGCGGGAAGATGGCGGCGCCCATGGACTGTGTTGAGTCTCCGGAGCGAGAAGGCGGCGCGGGGCGCAGGGCGTCCGGGGTGGAGGTGTCGGTCCCCTCGGATCCCGCGGCTCCCGCCCCGATGTGCCCACACGGTGGGTCGGCGTCGTTGATAGGCTGGCTGGCGCCAATAGCAAGGGTCGGGCTTAGTCCTCTGTGGGCTTTTAGGACTTGTCTCTGGAAGAGCGGGCTTCTCTCTGTCCGCTTCCCCCCTTGTGTGATGCTTGAGTTCCACCCGTTTTCAGAAAGTGTTTTTCCGCTGTGTTTAAGAGACCCCTCGAGAAGTCCTGACTGTTGGCGCTTTGGCTCGACAGCTGCTAACATCTGTACTTTGGGGGAGCCGGGTAGGAAGTAAGCAGAACGAAGAACTGAAGGATTCCTGGTGACAAGTTTTTAGGCAATCACATTTGTTGGATTTGCTGGGTTTTTGTTTGTTTGTTTTTAAGTTAGAACGAGGAAAAGAAAAAAAGGAAGTGAAATCAACTCTCTCGGAGAAAGAGGCATTGTCCAACTGTAAAGCCCAAGTTTTCACCGAAAAGACACTCCCCCAGCCCCCACCCCGGTAATGGCAAACCTTGCATTTCTCCGGGCTTTCCCCTATGTTTTATCGAAGTCTATTGCTTTAAAACTACTTGCATTATGGACCCAAGCTGATGTCTATAATAACGTAGACAGCAAACATTTTCTTTCCGGAGAAAGCAGTTTTCAAAATTATTTCTAATATTCCAATGCATCAATGTTGCAGCTGAAGAAAATAAGGTTTATCACAGAGAATAATGCATTGAATTATAATGCCTACATAAGTTTGATGCAAAATAATTTGTTGTAGACTACTGCTTGACACTTTTTTTTCTTCCTATTTTGGAACTAGGGCCCACTCTTCTGTTTGTAAAAGTGAGCCAAGGAAAGGAGGAAACTCGGAAGTTTTATGCCTGCTCAGCCTGTAGAGATAGAAAAGACTGTAATTTTTTTCAGTGGGAAGATGAAAAGGTATGATAATATTTTGGGCCAGCTTTATTGAGAATGAACCAATAAGCATACAGTTTAAACATTATATAAGATTATATTTATTTTAATGCACTGGTATTTTTAAGGTTTTTTAAAATTATGTGTGTGTGTGTTTGTGTGCCTTTTTATGAGCATGTTCAAATGTGTGCAAGTGCCTGTAGGTATCAGAAGTCCTGGGATCCTCTAGAACCAGAGTTATAGGCAGTTGTGAGCCTCCTGATATGGGTGTTTTGAATAGACTTGGGTCTTATTTTACTCCAACTGCTAAGCCATCTCTCCAGCCCCAAGACAAATAACTTATGAAGGATGAAATCCCAAGCTTTGATTTTTTTTTTTAATTCTGGGGAATGACGTTCATATTTAACTCTGAATTTTGATACTGTTACTGTCTCAAAAGATAATTAGTTTGCATAGTCAACTTCTGTGCTTTAATTTCAAATGTATTATTTAATTGATTTAATTTTGGTTTTTGAGGCAGGGTTTCTCTGTGTAGCCCTGACTGTCTTGGAACTCACAAAGTAGATTAATCTGGCTACAAATTCACAGAGATCCACCTGCCTCTGCCTCTTGAGTGCTGGGATTAAAGGCAAGTGCCACCACTGACCAGCAACTTATTAGTTCTTTTTGGTCTATTTTTGGTTGTTTTTTCAGTCTCTCACTATTTATCAGTAGCTGTCCTGTAACTTCCACCCTCCTGATAATAAATAAATAGTGACTGAATGAGGTTTGCTCTGTCTTTCAGTTGTCAGAAGCTAGACTTGCAGCCCGAGAAGCTCATAACCAGAGACACCAGCCCCCTCTATCCCGAGCACAATGCATAGAAAGGTACTGGTGTGATGTCTTTTTTCTTTATTATTTGGCAGTGATGTTACTTTTTTCCTGTTCCATTAAGCTTACTTCATTTATTTATTTTTATCACAAGGCTTTCCATTTGAATCATTTGTAATGTGTATAGTTCACTGGCTTTCACTACATTCACAATGTGTACAATCATTACTGCTGTTTCCTAAACGTCTTTATCCAGTCAAAGAGAAATTCTGTCACCATGAAGTAATGACCAAACTGTGGTGACCTCTTACCTCCTTTTTGTTGCTATGAATTTGATTATTCTGGGCACATATGAGTAGAGTAATATAATATTTGTTCGTGATAGCTATGATTTTTCCAGTTTCCAAGGCACATCCACGTTAGAGCATATGACAAAGTTTTCTTTTTTCACTAATATTTCATTGTATATATGAACCGCAGTCTGAAAATCCATCCATCTGTTGATGGGCATTGGGTTTGCTTGTACCTTTTGACTATTGTGAATAATGCTATAGATAACACAGACATACAAAGTATGTGTTTTCACGTCTTTCCATGGTTGGCCATGTGGTAACTGTTCTTTTTGAGGTGCTGACAAACTTTTCCACAGTGGCTGAAAACAATTTAATGTCCCTGTCAGCAGTGGATAGAGGTTCTATGTTCTTGCTAACATTTCCTTTTTTTTTTTTTTCTTTTTTGGTTTTTCGAGACAGGGTTTCTCTGTGTTTTTTGGAGGCTGTTCTGGAACTTGCTTTGTAGATCAGGCTGACCTTGAACTCACAGAGATCCGCCTGCCTTTGCTTCCCCGAGTGCTGGGATTAAAGGCGTGTGCCACCAATACGTGGCTTTTTTTTTTTTTTTTTTTTTTTGAGACAGGGTTTCTCTGTATACTCCTGGCTGTCCTGGAACTCACTCTGTATCTCACAGAGAACTACCTGCCTCTGCCTCTCAAATTCTGGGATTAAAGGTGTGTGCCACCACTGCCCGGCTAACATTTACTGTTTTTGTGTGATGCTACAGGTCTTGTATACATCTTAGCCATAGTATTACGTTTTAAGTGTGTGTGTGTGTGTGTGTGTGTGTGTGTGTGCGCGCACGTGCGTGCCCCCCCACGCACTGCATGCTGTGAGTGTAGGTGTGCATGCACATCCCACAGCATATGCCTTGAGGTCATAGGACATCTTCAAGAGAGGTGTTCGTCACCTTGCTTGAGATGAGGTCTGTTGTGTTCACTGCTGTGTGGACCAGGAGAGTTTGTCTACAAGCTTCCAGGAATTCTTCTTTCCCCACTTCCTGTCTTCCCACAGGGCCACTGTGAGTGCATGTGACACATGCCAGATCATCAGGCTTGGACCACAGGCACTACTCCTTTTTTCTTTTCTTTCTTTTTCTTTTTGGTATTGCCATCTTAGTAGTTGGGATGTTGTATGTTGTGGTTTTGATTTTTTGTTTCCCTAATTAGTACTTATGTTGGTCATTATTTCATGTATATATTGGCATCTGTGATTTCTCTGTTCAAGTACTTTTGTCCTGTGTGTGTGTGTGTGTGTTATAGGTTTATTGAGGGAGAAGACAGCAGAGTGGGCTCATTGCTTGGCTTCTGCTTTCCTCATGGCCTCCAGTTTGTTGCCCAGCGCCTTCTGACTGTGTTGGCTTTGATGTGTGTCCCCTTGAGACCTTGAGCAGCTCCATGGCTGTATGGCAAAAATCTGTCCAGCTGTGGGCTTCAAAAATTGACTTATTTCTATTTTATGAGTGTTTGCCTTCACGTGTGTCTGTGCACCATATTCATGCCTGGTGCCTGGAGAGGCCAGGAAAGGGAGTTGGAATTCCTGGAACTGGAATTGGAGATGATTGTAAGCCGTGTTCATGCTGGGAACTGGAACTGGGTCCCTGGAAGAGTAGTAGCCTTTCTTAACAGATAAGCCATCTTTCCAGCCTCCCTCCCCCACTTTGGTGCTTTTTTTTTTTTTGAGATAGGATCTCAAATCCAGCTCTCTCTGACTGGATTTGATCTTACAATCCACATGATTCTGCCTCTCAAGTACAGGGTTATAGGTGAAAGCTGTAAACATTTTAAAACTGGCATTATTAAAATGTTATTGGATGCATTGGAGTTGGTAGATTTATTCTGGTAGGAAACCTGTGACAAGAATTCATTTCTGCCTTGACTCTTAGGAATAGTACTCCTTGTGCTCTTCAAAGTTGCCCAGGGAGCCCCATCTGATTGACAGTTTACTGGTGGCAGATAGGTTTTCATTTATAGTGCTAGCTTCTGCTATGCAGGCTTCAGCATTCAGCACTCTGAGGCCTCATTCTGATTAAGTAAAAAGGAGTCCTGTGGCCTGTTTAAAATATCTTGCTTGAAGCTGGGTGTGGTTGTGAATTCCTTTAACCCCAGGAGTCAGAGGTAGGTGGTACTCTCTGTGAATTTCAGGCCTGCCTGGTCTATATAGGGAGTTCCAGGCCAGCCAGGGCTAGGAAGAGAGATCCTGTCTTGAAGAAAATGAAACAAACAAACCCAACCTAAAGTACAATAAGTGAATGAGTAAATACAATATCTTGCCTGAGCTCCTTAGACTTTAAAGCTCGGGATAGAGGATGCTTTTCTGAAGATAACTTGATTGCCCCTTCACTTTACTACTTAGCCAGAGGTCTATTTCCTGCATAGAAACTCAGTGAACAGTGAAAAGTGGTGAGGAAGGAGTGAGGATGAGTGAGCACTTCTGTGAGGCTGGTGCTCTTGCAAGGTATGTTACCTGAGGTGACGTTCAGTCCTGCCTGCCAGGGTGGCCAGGGAAAATGGAGGCTGGGAGCAGTGAAGGAACTTGAAGATCATCATGTTAGAATGACTGAACTGGGATTCCTGCTTTCTGCCTCTCTAATTCAAAGTGTCATGTTGGACATGATAGTAAATAGTGGCCAATAATGATTTACTATATGTTGACAGGAGATAAAGATACACCAGGATGTGATTATCATCACCGTAGGCGATGGCTTGGCAAATAGAAAAGCATGGCCTGTGCTTTCTGCCCAGCAACCTATCCCTTTTGCAGTCATTTAGGATTTGCTACTGGCTTTTCCCCCCCTCTGCCTATTAAACTTCTAGTATGGAAGTGGAGTTCTGTTCTCATCCCCCTACTGCCAGAG